AGAAAAGCCTGTTCCCACTTCCTACTTAGCCCACTGCAACAGCCTCTAAGTCAGCTATGCAGCCTGCATGTCTATCTTCCACACTGCCCTTCATCTTCTTTAGCACAAATGACAGCCTTGGGGCTGGAGAGATAGCTCAGTGGAGTAAGTGTTTGCCTGGCAAGCACAAAGTCCTGAGTTCAATCCCTGGTACCACCACCAAAAAAAAAAAAGAAAGCCTGTCAGCTCAAAACAATCCAGAGCTCGTAAAAGGTTGAATTCCAAGATCCTTGATCTTGTATCACTGGCCCTTTTAGCTTATTTCTTTAAACTCCTAATACCTACCAAAATGATTTTAATTTACTCAACTGATTGTAAGAAACACATTTGATGCATAAAAGAAACAATTCATGCAGAACTGTTCTCATACTTTCTATTTTACACTATTTTTCTCTTCTATAAATGCAGGTTATAGCTAGGAATAGACACACACACACATGTAATCCAGCACTTGAGAAGCTGAGGCCGAAAGATCATGAATTTAAGGCCAGCCTAGGCTATACAGTAGACTGTTTTGCTCTGTTTTATTTTGTGCCAGGGATTGAACTCAGGACCTTGCACTTGCCAGGCAGGTGCATTAGCCGCTGAACTATATCCTCAGCCTCTTTTATTTTGGACAAGTTCTCACTATGCAGTCCAGACTGGCCTTGAACAATGTAGCTCATACTGGCCTCAAATTCACATCATCCTCCTGTTTCAGCCTCATGAATGCTGAGATTACAGGTGTGTCTCACCATGTCTGATTACATAATATGCTGGAGGCCAGCTTAGAGTACCTAAAAAAGAAAAACAGAGACAGACAGACAGACAGACAGACAGACAGACAGACAGACAGAGACTGACTTACCCATCTCCTGCTAGGTCTTGACCTGTACTTTGAAGACCACTGACTGCTCCCTCCACTGCTCTTTCCCACTTATCTCTGTCCTTTCATACTTCAAGCAAGTAGTCCTGAATGCCAGGAATGCCTTTCTTCACTTTGCCTTCACATAGAAAGTTCCAACTGACCACTCAAGACTCAGCTCAAATGTTAGTTCCTCAGAGAAGCCTTCCTAAATACTGCCCTATATACTCTGGTTTCTCTTCAGATCATATAAACTTTCGCCTTTTACTACCTACTGCTCTAGTCACACTTCCAATTGCAAGGGTCGCACGGTTCAGTACACCCTGAGCAACGGCATTTGTCAAGTACAACGTAGGATGGCTTCTTATTTGTTTTTTGGTTGGTTGGTTGGTTGGTTGTTTTGTTTTTGTTTCAGTACCAGGGATTCAACTATCTCCCCAGCCCTGTGGTTTCTTTAAAAAAAAAAAATCAGTCTGCTTTGAACTATATTTCTGGATGTCAATAACCTAGCTGTTCCACACCAGGTTCCAAATAGGGCTTAAAATGAAGCAAAAGCAAGGGTATGCAATGCTGACACATGAGAACTGACTGACCTCCCACCAACCTCATCATCTTAGCTGTGCACCAACCAACTGGCCCTTGCTCTATTCCCAAACACATCAGTTTGTCCCATCTCAGAACCTACCCATCTCATTCTTCTCACAGTATTTCCATGGCAAGACGTTGATGCTCTATCTTTTTAGATCAATAGTCTATTCCCAAGGAAAGACATAATTCTTTTACTTGTTTTACAACACTTCCCTGAAATTACTGCTTTTTCTTGGACAAGGTCTTGCTATGTAGTTCAGGCTGGCCTTGAACTCACTATGCAGCCCCGGCAGCCTCTCAAGGGCTGGGATCACAGGTATGTGCCGCTATTCCTGGCCCTTGAAATTACGATGCTTACTTTGCTCTTGTTTTTTTGTCTCCCACACTAGATCATTAGAAAGAACAAATCTACCCATTTGCCCCACTAACTTCAGCACCTAGAGTAGTGTACATCCCATAGTATGACCTAAAAAAAAAAAAAAAAAAACTGATGAATCAGCAAGCAAGAAGGGAAGCAAACAGGCCATAGTACTGCAGCTAGCTAAGTCAGGCTACAGAAGGGCCTGGGCCTAGGACAGAGTCAGCACAGCCACGAGGCAAACCAGGCCTGTGGTTGGTGGAAAGACTTGACAGAGCTTCCGGCTACCCTGCGCCGGCGGGACCTACTGGTCCCAAGCCAGGCACAAGGTGGGTGAGACCCTCTTACACCCCCTTGGGATGCTCCCCACCACTCCGCAGCACCTCCCCTACCCCGCCTGCCCAGCAAGAATTTCTACCATGTTCCAGAAATCCTCAGATCCAGTCCTAGCCCAGGCCCAGTGAGTGTGTGGAAGAGGTCCTGCTACCCTATGCTGGCGTGACCTACTGGTCCCAGCCCAGGCTCTGCGTGAGTGACACGCTCTTTCACCCTCTTGGGACGCCCCCCCCATCACTCCTTAGTACCCCCCACACCCCGCCCACAGAGTAGGAATTTCTGTTGCGTTCTGGGAACCCCCAGATACAGTCCTAGTCCATGCCCAGTGAGTGTGTGGGAGAGCTGCCTCTCCCCCCTACTCCACCTTGTCCCCTCTAGACTCCACCTTGTCCCCTTTCCCTCATACAGGCCTGGGGGGAAACCCTGCAGCTGCAATCCCTGAAGAGAGTGTAGGGGAGAGAAACACCCAGCTAGTCCAGGAGCAGAAAATCTTGTCAGAGGGGCACAACAGGTTCACCCCCAAGGGCAGCAACAGGAAGGAACTGAGCACAGCAGCCAGACCCAAGCCAGGCACAGCTGGATAAATCCAAACTTTGTAGATCTACACATGAACTTCAGTAGGTGCTAAGGCTATAACTGCAGCAAAGATCTACAACAAAGGTCAGAAGACAGTGCTACACAAAATGACAATGAGAAGGAGCAAAATGCAATCTTAGACCCCAAACCCACCCATAACAAGTACAGAGAACACTAACACAGAACAAATTGGGAACCACACAGCTGAAAGCAATGAATCAACGGCTTCTGAAATAAAGAAACAGCTGCAGAAAGGTATAGAGTAACTCAGATTGGAAATGAAAAAAGAAATCCCTGAATTAATAACATGTGCAGTAAAGAATCAAATGCAAAAACATATGGAGGAAACCCAATGCCCACCCAGAACCAGTGCAGAGGACACTAACTCAGCTGAAATTTATGAATTAATAGCGTCCATAGTAAATAAGCAACAGCAGAGAGTCATAGAGGAACTCAGAGCAGAATTATTTTCTGAAATAAAAAAAGAATTCTTGAACTCATAGCATCTGAAGTAAAGAATCAACTACAGAAACATAGGGAGGAAACCCAATCAGAAAAAAACACTGCAGTAAAAGAATTTATAATGGCTTCTGAAGAAGACATTGATAAAAAAAAATAGAGGAGATTAGAAAAATGACAGATTCCTTGAATGAGCAATACAGGAAAGAAATAGATCACATGAAGCAGAGTCAAAGAGATACAAAGGAAATTAAAATCTCAATCACAAGCTTGCAAAACCGTTCAAGTGGAAGTGAAGACAGAGTTTCAGATCTTGAAGACGCTGGTGCAGCTAGTGAAAAGATAAGAAAGGATCTCTTAAAAACAACTAGGAGGCAGGACAGAATAATCCATCACCTGCAAAATGATGCAAAGATTAACAACATGAGACTAATAGGCATCAATGAGAAAGAAGGAGTCAATATAAATGACATTAAAAAAATATGGGCAGAAGTAATAGCAGAACACTTAGGAAACAATCTGATATTCAGGTAACCAAAGCATACAGAATGCCAAGTAATCTCAACCCAATTAAAAACAAACCGAGACATATAATAGTCAAGATCCCAGAAATTCAGCACAAGAATAATATACTGAAAGCCACTAGAAAAAGAAGTAGATCACATTCAAAGAAAAACCCATCAGAATGACAGCCAACTTCTCTTCACAAACCATGAATGAAAGAAGAGCATGGAGCAGAGTACTTCAAGTCCTCTATGAAAACACATTGCAGCCCAGACTACTATACCCTGCAAAACTCTCTTTCAAGTTTGATGGAGAAGTGAAATACTTTCATGACAAAGAACAGCTAAAGAATTTCATGGTGAAAAAGCCAACCCTACACAGGCTATTGAAAGATGTTCTAGAGAGGGACCAAAATGACCAGAACTCCACGAATGAGATCAGAAGCAACCGACTAAATAGCGCAAGCAATTAAACACTGGACAAAAAGGAGTAAACAACAACAGGTTAATAACATGTCAATCGTAAGTCAATACATCTCAATTCTAACCATCAATATAAATGGACTCAATTCACCAATTAAGAGAAATAGACTGGCATCGTGGATTAGGAAACAAAATTCAACAATATGCTATATACAAGAAACGCATTTAACTCATAAAGACATTCATAGGCTGAAAGTCAAAGGATGGAACACAATACTACATGCCCCACCACCTCAGAAAAAAGCAGGGGTAGCAATCCTATTCTCAGACAGTCTTAACTTCAAATCAAGAATGATCAAGCAAAATAAAGAAGGCCACTATATACTGGTTAGGGGAAAATTCAAGAGGAAGAGGTAACACTCTGAAATATGTATGTACCAAACACAGGAGCACCCAGCTATATAAAGCAAATCTTAATGGACATGGAAAATCTAATATCCAGGGGCTGGTAAGATGGCTCAGTAGTCTAAAGCACCTACTTAAAAAAAACAAGCTTAGCCATCACAAGGACCGCGGTTCAATCCCCCAGCACCACATGC